CGGGAAACAAGGAAACAACTATTTTTTCTATGCCTAGTTAGTCTAGAAGCAAGTCTGACTCTGAGAAGTACATCTGAGAAATAGGCGATGAAGCCTTATTGGGACTGACGAGTCAGGAGAAACCACTAGGGTGGAGGGGAGGTCAGGTTCAGAACTGGTATGTGTTAGATGAGGTATGGGCTGTCCAACAGGGCATTGCCAGCAGCAACACCCCCGTCTTCTGTTGAGGATGGTTTGGTCCGGAGAAGATGTCCGCCCTCCCGGTTCAGAACAACTTCACCCCCCTTCCTGTAAAATTTATCAATTTTGGTTCAATTCAACAATTACTGAAATGCAATCAATGGTTTATTGTATGAATGTTAATACATTACACGTACTTAAAGGGAGCTGCTTAAATGTCAGAATTTGTCGTGGTTTGCTTGATCATTTCTGTCTTCCATTTAGCAGGGCTGCTACATAATGCAGACATTTTACTCACCCGATGAACACCCCAAATATGCCCAGTTCGCTGACGGCCTCGGTCAGCTGCGGCTCGCTGCCCGGCCGTACCAGGTAATTGACACCACCGCCGGGCGTATCCGGTCCATGACCACGTACGCTGTCCTCTGCTGCGGGTCCTTCATGCCGCGCAGAGCTGCCGGGATGTCCTCACCAAAGATGTTGTGGCCTGGCGATAAACGGGCTGGTCAGATCATGCACTACCATTGGTCACACCCTGGCAGCCCTCCCATTGGTCATGTCCTACCAGCCCTCCCATTGGCCACATCCTAGTAACCCTCCCATTGGCCACACTCTAGCAGCCCTCCCATTGGTCACACTCTAGCAGCCCTCCCATTGGTCATATTCTACCAGCCCTCCCATTGGTCACACTTTACCAGCCCTCCCATTGGCCACATCCTAGCAGCCCTCCCATTGGCCACATCCTAGCAGCCCTCCCATTGGCCACATCCTAGCAGCCCTCCCATTGGTCACACTCTAGCAGCCCTCCCATTCGACATGCCCTAGAGGGCCTCCCATTGGCAATACCCTACTCTTACTGCCTACACCCTATATTCCTCCCATTGGTCATATTCTACCAGCCGTCCCATTGGTCACACTTTACCAGCCCTCCCATTGGCCACACCCTATCAGCCCAAACTGGCCGTCGGAGTGTAACACTGACCTCCGCCCTCTCTCTGTGGCTTCATCACGAACCTTCCGGGGTCCGACATCACCATCTGCACCGTCTGGTCTCCCTGGGCTCCCTGCAGGCAACACAGGACACATTCTCATCTCATTTCACATCACAAATACTCCCTACAGACAACAGAGCACACATCTCACATCTCATCACGTATCAACAACTCAACACATCTCAACATATCTCATCACAAATACCTACGAGTTTACCTGTTCATTGTCTAAAGCAAAATGAGTATTCACTGCACTGTTCCTCTTGTGGAGTGACATTTGTTAGTACATTACATTCGCAGCAGCACCTTCACGTGAAGAGCTGTCCTTGGTGCTGAAAGCCCTTTACACTAAAAATGTAGTATTAAAAACTCTGCTGGTTCTTACAACTAGCTCACTGCAAGTTGAGTTTTATCTAGGTTATTTTCCTTACCATTTCTAATGTGTACTGCCCTGCAAATGTCGCCCTGACTCACCAGTTCTAGTGTGTACTGCCCTGCAAATGTCGCCCTGACTCTCTCCACTGCCGCAGGGTCCTCTAAAAACCGCTCCAACACCCCCGGCTGGGCTAGCTCCTGTTGCACTTTCTTAGTGCCTGCGAGATGGTAGGAAATGCACGGGCACTTGATGGCTTTGGACTGCTCTATCTGCAATCGGGCCCTCCACTCCTGGAAGGTAAAAAACAAGTAAGCTCACATTTCTTAGTGTTAATTGTTGTTAACTAGTTGTAGCTGCAGACTAGTGCAGAAACGCTAAAAGAAAAGCTTACAGCTGCTATCAAAGAATAAGTGAATGGGAGGCAAATGAACATTGCATGTTCAGTGGGGTAGTCTGTTGGGATGTACTGTGTGATACGTGTTCAGTGGGGTAGTCTGTTGGGATGTACTGTGTGATACTCACATGTTCAGTGGGGTAGTCTGTTGGGATGTACTGTGTGATACTCACGTGTTCAGTGGGGTAGTCTGTTGGGATGTACTGTGTGATACATGTTCAGTGGGGTAGCCTGTTGGGATGTACTGTGTGATACTCACGTGTTCAGTGGGGTAGTCTGTTGGGATGTACTGTGTGATACTCACATGTTCAGTGGGGTAGTCTGTTGGGATGTACTGTATGATACTCACATGTTCGGTGGGGTAGTCTGTTGGGATGTACTGTGTGATACATGTTCAGTGGGGTAGTCTGTTGGGATGTACTGTGTGATACTCACATGTTCAGTGGGTAGTCTGTTGGGATGTACTGTGTGATACTCACGTGTTCAGTGGGGTAGTCTGTTGGGATGTACTGTGTGATACTCACGTGTTCAGTGGGGTAGTCTGTTGGGATGTACTGTGTGATACTCACATGTTCAGTGGGTAGTCTGTTGGGATGTACTGTGTGATACATGTTCAGTGGGTAGTCTGTTGGTATGTACATATAGAATACAACACGGGGTATTCCGTATCGCCCGAGGTACCAGCCCGACCGCGCGTCGGATCGCCCGACGTATTTTATTTATGTCATACCCACCCAAGAAAACACGCCTTTTAATGCGAAATAGGCGAACATTTGGTGTCCCTAAACCCAAACAATGCAACAACATCAATTCCAACGTCCGAATTTTGTGTTCGAATTTTCGAAAGCGGTGCACGCGGTTAGGGCGAAACGCGTTCAAATCGTTCTATGGAACATTTGGAAGCCCCGGGCCGTACGCGTTAAGAACCCCCGGGCCGTACCGCTAGTTATCACACGGGCCGGAACACCCGTATCGAACGTAATCGCGGCCCAGGTAGGACATAATGTGTGATACTCACATGTTCAGTGGGGTAGTCAGTTGGGATGTACTGTATGATACTCACATGTTCAGTGGGGTAGTCAGTTGGGATGTACTGTGTGATACTCACGTGTTCAGTGGGGTAGTCTGTTGGGATGTACTGTGTGATACATGTTCAGTGAGGTAGTCTGTTGGGATGTACTGTGTGATACTCACATGTTCAGTGGGGTAGTCTGTTGGGATGTACTGTGTGATACTCACATGTTCAGTGGGGTAGTCTGTTGGTATGTACTGTATGATACTCACATGTTCAGTGGGGTAGTCTGGTGGAACGTATCCTGCCCTGAAGTATGCCACTGCCACCTCCAGACCATCTCTGTAACACCGGTAATAGGCACCAGTCAATACAAAACATGAGTGGGATGAGGGGGTATGCAGAGAGTAAGGCAAGGTGGGATGAAAAGGACTAAAACTGGTTTGGCTACAGCCGGCATACTTACACGAGTAGTGTTTTATCAGGCCTGAGTTCTCCCTTGTGGTGGATCTCTGTCAGTGTGTAACGTCTGACCCTGATGCTGGGGTTCCTGCAACATCAGACACCGCCCATCACAGCTAGTCTTTCAAACTGAAGGTTTATGCTGCCATGCTTTATGCTCAATTTGTTGAACTATCTCAGCTAGCAATTCCTTAACTCCACCTTCTGACAGTGATATTACAGACTTACAGTACATCAACCTCCTGAGTAACCAGATTCAAAGCTAGTCTTTGGACTGAAGTTTTCACGTGCTTGATTAAAACATCCATGTTTAGTGCAAACACGACACACAGACAACATTTCTGACCTGTCCATGGCGGCGAACTCCAGCCAGCGCTGGTCCATCGCGTTCCTGTTCTCCTCCTGGACTACAAACACGATGATGGCACTGGAATCATAGGAACATCTGTCAGTAAGAACTACTACTAACTACTACTAACTACTAACTGCTACTACTACTACTACTACTACTACTACTACTATCTAACCCACAATGATGGTGCTGAAATCAAAGGAGCATCTGTCAGTAATGTGCCATGATGATGGCATTGTAAAGACACATATCTAATTCTAACCCACAAAATTTACAGACAATACATTATGGCATTGTGGCACATAACAGCCATTTTTTGTGCACCAACAGAATCTAATTCACACAATTTCCTTATCCTCAGACGACATGGATGGCAGCTGGGTCTCCCACCACTGTTTGCGGGTATCTCACCTGCGTTCCCCGTACAGCTCCCAGGCTGCTGCCAGGCCCTCTGCTAAACTCCACACTGCCCGGTTCTGTGGCAACTGTGGTAGGAGACAAAGGAACATTTGGCAAGGGAAATAACAACAGAAAAGGAGAACAATAATGAATAACATGAATGAATAAAGATTGGTTCAAACAAACCAACAATGAAATACTTCCATTTGGCTACCAGCTACAGTGTACATGATGCAGTAACGTTGAGTAAACCTCACACTCACATGCCGGTCGGTGGTGAACCTGGAAACCTCGCAGAGTCGTAAAACATGCCTGAAACATGGAAAACAGCAACATTGTTGTACTATGAGCAAAAAAGGAAAATTTGCATTAAACAAAAAACTTTAATAATAAACAATAAAACAAGTTAGTCCATTTTCTACATGCATACCTGTGTAAGTCCATAGTTTTGTGAGTCCAAACAATGGGAACCAGAGATGATTACTGTAGATGCAGCTACGTATCTTTGCAGTTTGTTCAGTCACTACGTCACTAATCTTTGTTTAGAAAGTTGTCCTGATTCCATCTCCTGCATCTGTATCGGTATATCTGCCCTTTGGCATATAGGCAACACACTAGCTGGTACCTGTGTAAGTCTGGCATCTGTGTCCCCAGACCCCCGAAACTCGAGGCAATACAGTTGATCTCAATCTGTTTCAGCTGCAGCTGGTCCAGCCGTGGTTCTCCGTTCCCATGGCTACCGTTGTCGGGCGTGTCCAGGCGCGGTTGCTTGGCAACAGGTTCCCCGTTTTCCTGGCTGGACCCACTGGGAGAGTCGAGCATGTAATCTGACCTGTGCAGCCCCAGGCAAACAGGCTGGGGGGGGGGGGGAGAAAACAACTCACTATCAGGGACAACACTGTACAAACCAGCTGCAGGTAGGCAAGACTCATAAAAAGTCATATCCTCACCACACAGCGTAGTCTCTCTCTTACTTGGTCAGTTGCTTAGTCTTTTCTTTATTCCTTTTAATTTATTTCTCTTTTTCTTCCTTTGTTTCCTTTTTTCTTTTGTTATCCTCGTAAGAAAATTCAAACTCTACTACTGGATCAGTTACGGATTTTTATTTATTTCTGGACGTTTCGAGTGACATCCATCACTCTTCTTCAGCGTCACAAATGAACAGAGAACCGATTCG